AAAGGAGCGATGAGTGATACCAGTGACGTCCGGTGGACACGTCGTGGGCCCATGTGTCAGATGCTCTCGTCCACCTGAGCTAGCGCCATTCAGATTCCTGTCGTAGAAGCTCAGATGCTCTGTGTTTGCCTGACGTGATCTCAAGCTATTTAGCGCCATTCAGATTCCTGTCGTAGAAGCTCAGACGCTCTGTGTTTGCCTGACGTGATCTCAAGCTGTTCATTTCTCTCTCTCTCTTTTTTTTTTTCAGGTAATGAACCGAAAAGATCATGTCGGAAGTCCAAGGAACGGTTGAGTTTTCTGTAGAGCTACACAAATTTTATAATGTGGATCTCTTTCAGAGGGGGTGAGTATGCTTCCTGCTTGTATTCCGTGCCTATACACAAACGTTTTTTGTTTCTGTTATTTTTTTTCTCCTGGCAGGGGGTGGAGGTGGCCAGGACAGGTCCCAGGAAATTTCGGGTTAATGGGGAGAGGGTCTCTGTTATTTTTCCTGCCAAGTGGAAAATCCAAACCTTCGGTGCGTTTGAAAATAAACCGTATATCGACAGAGACTAGAAAACACTAATTTTTTTCTTCCTCCTGCACTTTCTTCCGCCCTCCTTCTTCCCGGTTGATTTTCCGTAAATCCATCCGTCAGTGTTAAAGGAAAGTGAGTTTTCTGGAAACGAAGCTCGGGAGGTTGATGAAAAGGTGTTCGAAGTAATAGTAATAATGAAAGTATAGCAAACACCAGAAAATGACAGAAAACTTATGTTCTCCTTGTCCTCGCCACCGAGGTGGCAACACAAGTTCCTCAGATCCAGAGACGTTTGAACTTCTTCGAAAAACGATTCGATACGTGGATTCGTAACCCTGATTATTCGTAACACACCGCATCCTAACCGTGTATTGGGGCTTCAGGTTTTCACTAAGGCTTAGATGGAATCACCATTGGCAAAACGCTTCAAGAGGACACATCCAAATCACAAAAGGACTTACGTGGCAAGCCTGTGGTACTGTTCTTTCTCAACGTGTGGTTTGGGGAGGCATCTTGTGTAGCCATGCTCTCCACTAAAATCCAATATTGAATTAGGCTAAATTAGAATCATAACATCGAATCACCATTTCATATATACGTATCAGTAAGGAGAAAAAGGTTTTGTGTTCCATTAATACATAAAAATAATTTTTAAAACAGGGATCGTTACGTTCCGTACTTTATCTTTTGAGAGACCTTTTCCTAGATCCGTAATGAGGGTTCTGAATGATTTGAACTGTATATGCACGTGGTGCGTAAATAAACATGCACGCGTTGGGGGCCGCACGCTCAAAAATGCTCTTACTAATATACGTACCCATCGTTAGCAGCCAGAGGCCATGAGCAGAACAGGGCACTGTCACAAACGCCTTCTGGTCCTTAGTGCTGGCGTTTCCGGTGTGAAGAGTGGACATTGGGGACCTGTTCTGAAGTGGACGAGGCGTCCTCTCACATTCAGAAATGCTTGGAGGTGGGATTCATAGCACGCATGGCCTTGAATGGGCCAGGATGTCAGTTGGGTGAAGGCGCTTCGACCTCTCGGGGGCGTGGAGGGAGTTCTGGGCTCTCTCGGGTCCCATCGGCGGTAAGAGCTGGAGGTTGACGGTCCCCAGCCCCCTTGGCGAGCATGATGCCAGCCAGGCTTCTGCCCCTGCCAGGGGACTTCCCGACGGGCACGACCCCTGATGCTCGAGAGCTGAGGACTTGTCTGCTCCGAGTCCCTTGGGGGCCATGCTTATGGTGCAGTGTGATCACTTCGCCCGGCAAGCACTCTGTGGGGAAGTGCTGGCTGCTGTCCAGGCCGGGAGGGCAGGGTAGGGGCTGGGCGGAACAGGGTGGACCACCTGATGGCATTAAAGGAAGGAAACAGGACCTGGAGGAGCCGGCCCGTGTGGGGCGTGAGGACGCGTAATTGAACGTGTACTCTGCGGGGTCTTTGGGGCCGTAGGGATCGGAGTTGGGGACCGCGAAAGGAGGAGCACCCTTCCTCAGAACGAGTTCGACTGTCGTCGTCCGAGTGCCACTTGGTTGCTCTGGTCGATGGGAAATGCCCAGGTGACCCTCCATCCAGGTGTCCCAGCTCATGTGACCCTGTCCGGCCAGTTAGACGCCTCCTCCTGGTTTGCTGTGAGATGCTGTGTTGGAGCCACGCGGATACAGATCTCAGAATTTTGCACAAGATTCTGCCCCGATCAGGGGTTACCTGCTTCTGGCACATTTACATGTGTGGATGGCCTTTCTCGTCCCAGATTGCACAGCGCCTCTTGGCGGTGTTTGCTTTGAGTCAACAATCAACTTGCGTTTATCTAAAGTCTATATTGACTGAGGAGGATTCTCAAAGGGAAAACCTGTCTTCAAACCCATCACCAAGCACCATGAGTTGTCACCTCTATGCTTGGTGAGAAGGCGGGGGCGGGGAGGCACTGAGGAGCATGGCTTTGGGGGGCGGGGGGGACAGTCAGACCTGAATTTGAAGTCAGGCTCTGCCACTTAAAAGCTCTGAGGATGCGAGGACATCTCTTTAAAACATTCCGAGCCGCCGTTTAATCACCTGTAAAATGGCGAAGACAAAGACTTTCTCATGACGTAATCGGAAAGGTTAAGGCGTTAATTGCATTAATTGATATATGCAGAGCAGCTAGCATGGTGCCTGGTATCTGGAAGATGCTGTCTGTGGTGACACTGTTCGTGGAGTTATGACCCGAAAAGCTTTCCTCTGCTCTCACCTCAGCCTCAAGTTCAAAGCCTGGGTAGTGGGACCTGAAACTTCTTCCATCCCATTATCTGTGCTCAGCTTAGTCTTGTCCCTCCCCCTCCTGATCCGCCGTCAAAACCTGCCCTGTGCCGAGTCCCGCGCAAACATAAGCTCCAAACCAGGCCCGATGCTGAGACTTAACCTACTGTGTTCAGCCGGCTCTGTGGCCCCCTCCTTTCCCTGTTCCAAAGCCTGTCTCTGTCTTAATCTGTCCACCACTCACACGTCCGTTACTGTAAACACTAGTAAGCGCATCTTAGGGCCTTGGAGCTGTAACCAAGATAGGCTAGGGGTTCCATGCAGAGCAACAGGTGGGGGACCCGGTCTGTGGGCAGCATCGGAGGAGTGTCCTGGGAGAGGTGACAACAGAGGTATCACGTGATGGGTGGGAGTCTGCGTGCAGAGGACCCGGGAGGCAGGGGCGGGTGGCTCGGGTGGCGTCAGGAGGCGGAGCCCACCTGGAGGACCAAAGCCAGATGAAGAGTGAGAATGAGAGGGAGGGGGCGGAGCGGGGAGCACGGCGGAGTCGGCCCAGCCAGCTCTGCCGGACTCAGACTCGGGTCACGGGAATGTCAGCGGCCCCGCCCTCTTCCTTCCTAGTGGGGCTGGGACCTCTCCTCTCGCCCCACAGGACCATGGGGCTCAGCCCCGCTGGCACATGCCTTCTGCCCTGGAGCCCGTGGAGACTGCGTTAGCTTTCCAGCCTGGCTCCTGGGAGCCACAAAGCAGAAGGCAGACCCTATTCCTTTTACAATGATTTTCTCATGAGGAAATATTTACACCAACAACTAATTGTGAAACCCATTATGTGGATATTTGTAAGTCATCAGTATACGCATAACTCATTTATAACTATTTATGAGACTACGAACCCCCATTTCCGATATCGTTAGCTGAACAGGAGCTGCGACTTGTGCTTGAAAATGAATTTAAACTTCATTTTAAATTTTAATCCAGACAAGGCTCTAAATCAACCGACGTTCTTTCCGAGTAACGTTTTTTACTGATTGACGTTCAGAGTCACCTCCTGCCTTCCCTCCACGCCTTCCCTTCAACATCACGGGGAGGGTTTTCTGCCCAGAGGTGTTAGGTGATTTCCTGGGTGATTCCGTCCTGCTCTCTCGGGAGAGTCGTGGGAAAAGCACCCGCAGTCAGCTTCATCAGCTCCGATGTAGAAGGTCGGACACTGATGGAGACGGTAGCCCTGAGGTGTTCCTTGAACAGACTCACCTGCCTTTCCTGTCCTAGAGGGATGCGGATGAGTCAGAAGTCAAGCGATTCCCGAAAGAAAATGCCGTCTTGTGTTTACGCCCCGCTGCTCCCATCCCAGCCTCGTGTCCAAGGACAGCGGCTCCCTGTGAAATTAGCTGCCTGGCCCCGATGTGCCTTAATAGCCTCAGAAATACCATTATCTTTGCTTGCCGGAGATCGAGTAATTGATTCGTGTGGCTCTGTCAGAAACAGCCCTTTCTTTTTTCACTTCTCTCATTAAAATACGTTGTGATCCTCTCCGTCCCTTCCCACACTTCGGAGAGGGAGCAGGGAGGACGAGTGGTCGCCAGCCCCACCGAGAGCGCGGCCTTGCGGAGCGAACGAGCTGGGAGGTCAGGGCGGAGGTCGGCATGGCGGCGGCTTCGAGGGGGACGCGTATGTGAAGACGCTGCCCTCCCCTCCCCAGGGACGGTCGGCGGGGACGGTTCTCACCCGACGGACGCCGGGAATCTAGTCGCCGTTTCGATGCAGCGACTTCCCACTTGTGCCAGGCGAACATCATTCCCTTTATTTTTGTGTCAGTCAGTTTGACTTAGGATTTTCGTCCCTTGCCGCTCCATCCAGCATAAGTTGCACAGGGAGAGTCGCTGACCTCTGAGAGTCTTTCTTTCTCTCAGCTCCGTCATTAGTGTCTAATTAAAGTTGGGTCTTCCCTCCCTCGTTAAACGACATCACTGTGATTGCCTCCCTGGAGAGGGAACAGAGGTTAGTTGTAGAGATGGACGTTCTGGATCGCCTTTCTGGCCAGTCCACGTTCCTGTTAATAATTTCCCCGTCCCGTTTCTTCCTCTTTTACCTTTGAATCTGTGACTCCATGAGCCTGCTGCCGCTTTAAGCCTTTTATCTATCCCCTTAGCCGGTGGCTGAGGGCATGCTCAGCAGGTCTGTGATGCCAAGAGCCTTCCAGAGGGCTGAGCACAGCCCTGCAGAGATGAGAATGCCTCTGCTGAGCTCCGAGCCGCCCACCGGGCCTGGTCACCTCGGGCGGAACCAAGGCCCAGCGGAAGGCCCCGGTAGTGTGGTCTTTTCTAGTCCTGCTCTCAAAGGGGTCCTTGCCTGGGCTTCGCAAGGAGTGTGGAGGGGCCGTAGAAACAGCAGCAGCGTGGAATCGGGTCCTGATGCTGTTCTCGCGCTGGCTGTCGAGGAAGCAGATTGATCAGTACGGATTAGGCATAGGCATGGCCGCCGGAGAGGGATTTCTTCCTGCCTCTCTGTACCCCACCTGAGATAAACCTTCAGCCTCAAGTGTTTAGAGACAGAGAGGAGGAGACGGGAAGGAGAGAAGACGAACGAATAGATG